GGGTCATGATAGTGGGGGCTGGGGAAGCCTCAAGGACACCCCACCTCTGTGAGGGGATGTCCCATTGTCAACAGATGGGCTTTGGGTCTCTGTCCTGAACCCCTCTTTCTCAGCAATGTGGTTTTTCTGTTTGTTTGTTTGTTTGTTTGTGGTCTTCTGATGCTTGTTACCGAGTCCCAGTGACACCATGCTTGCACAGGCTGGTGTGCTCCTTCCATGTGGACTTGTTGTTCCTCTGCTAGATGGCCACTTGTCTAATGCCAAGCCTTTAAGGCTTTAGACGCTACATCTTTTGATAGCTGGGCACCATCCGCTTTCTTCACCACATTTGCTTGTGCACCCATTTAAGACAAAGTATTACCATCCTTGCTTCTATGGAGCATTCTGGCTGTACCTCTTCCCCGACAGCTTGGTGGGTTCTTTGGCAGTCTATAGTACTTGCAATGTCCTTCCCTCGCACTATAGTTCAAATGCATGGATTCTTCTTCAGGCATTTATTCAGTGTTCAACTTTCACATGCATATGATGCAACGGAGAATACCAGGGCTTGGGTCAGGCACACCTGGGTTCTCAAAGTAACATCCTTGCTTTTCAACACTTTTTGGGGGGGTATAGATATCCAAGTTTATTAGTGGCTACTAGGGTCAGTATACAGAAAGTGGGGGGTGGAGGCTAGCGGGGATGGAAAAACTACATGGATCATGGAATGGTACACTTGCAAACATATTCGTGTAACTGCTGCCAATAAGGCTTAAATCTGTAAACGACTGAACAGGCAAAAGTTGTGTGATAGATATATAAGGAGCTTCAAAAAGTTTGTGGGAAACATCCATTATTTTAAAATTGATTTGCAGTCACCACCGGGGCTATTTCTTGCTGAGTTGTTTGCTGTCTTGTTCTTCCTGAAACCTTGGGAGGCTGAGAGGTGCTTGGTAACGTGGGCGAGGGTGGGTTCTGCTTTGTTCTCCATGGTCTCCAGGTCACAGTCAAGCTGCTGGGTCATCTCCGGAGCACTTAAGTCAGGTTGGCCTTGCTTTCAGCTGAAGAGGGGCGAGGAGTCTCGGGCAGAAGACACATCTGGGAGCGCCGGCCACAAAGGGCTCTGGCTGCGGTTCTTCTCTGGCACTTTTCAATACTTTAAAGAGATTTTTATGCTGCAGATTGACCTAATACAGTTGAGCTCTTGACTCTGGCTTCCATGAGCATTGACTGTGGATCCAAGCAATACGAAATCCTTGACAACTTCAACTTGTTCTCCATTTATCAGGATGTTACCTACTTGTCCAGTTGTGAGGATTTGGGTTTTCTTTACCTTGAGTTGTGATCCATACTGAAGGCTGTAGTCCTTGATCTTCACTAGCAAGTGCTTTAAGTCCTCCTCCCGTTCAGCAAACACGGTTGTGTCATCTGCATATCAAAGGCTGTTAATAAGCCTTTCTCCAATCCTGCTGCAGCATTCTCCTTCATATAATCCACTTTCTCAAATTTCTCCCTCAGCATACAGATTGAATCAGTATAGTGAGAGGATGCAGCCTTGATGCACATCTTTCCTGATTTTAAGTCAGGCAGCGTTCCCTTATTCTGTTCACACAGCTGCCCCTTGATCCGTGGACAGGCTCCACATGAGCACACTTTTTAAAGAGGACTTTTTCAGCAAATTTGTTCAATGTAGTCCATCATTTGATTTCTTGACTTCTGCTTCTCTGGGTGCGTAATTATCCCGTTTTGAAGATCTCTGTATTCTTTATGTTGAGGTATAATCCATACTGAGTTTGCGCGGCAAGGTCTCTTCATTTTCAGCAAGTAAGGCCTGTGTCATCTGCGTATTGATGAGACCCCTTCCATCCTGAAGCCACGTTCTCTCCTTCATCGCGTTTATTTAATTCCTCTCAGATCATTCGCTCAGAAGATTGAATAAGTCTGGTGAAAGGATACAACCCTGATGGACACTTTTTTTTTAGTTTTAAGCTGTGCATGATCTCCCTTTTTGGTTCCAACACCTGCCTCTTGGTCCAGGCAGCGATTTCATATGAGCACAATTAAGCAGTCTAAGATTCTCGCTATTTGCATGTCATCCATCACTCATGGTGATCTGCACAGCTGAAAGCCTTTGCACAGTAAACAAAACACGGGCAAACATCTGACATTTCTGCCATCAGCAATAATATCCTTATTCGTGTTGTCTTCTGAATCCTAGCTTGAATTTCTGGCAGTTCCCTCCGTGTACTGCCCATTTTAAAATGATCTCCAACACAGTTTTACTGGTATGCGGCATGAATGGGATTTTTTAATGATTTCTGTACTCTGTTGGATCCCTTCTTATTGGTTTGGACACATATATGTAGTCACTTGGTCAGGTAGCTTCTAAATTTCTTCATGAGGAGCACATGCATGTTGTATCTGTTTGTGGAAACATCTCAAATAATATTCCATCAATTCACGAATCTTTGCTTTTGACCAATGTTTTCAATGTAGCTTGACATCTTCCTTCAGTACCATTGGTTTTTAATCATATACTATCCTCCTGATGCGCATGAAGATATTTACTTTTAAAAAATTTTTTTTATATTTCATTTTTTAAAAGCCTGATGTCCAAGTTAGTGTATGAATGAAATAAGTCATGATATATGTTCATAGAACAGACACTATGTGCTCATTAAAAATCAGGGTGTAAAAAAACATAATGTAAAAGAATATATAGTAACATGGATAATTGTTCATTATGTTATAAAAACACAAACCAAACTCATTGCCATTCGGTTGATCCAACACTAGAAACTTTATAGGGCCAAGTAGAGCTGCCCCAGCGAGTTTCCAAGGGCACAATTTCAGCAGAAGCTGGGGCTTGTGGATGGAACCTACAGGGGCAGTGAATCATTTAGTGTGTTTCTTCCAGCTAGTCTCTAACTCCCACCAAACAACCTTATCCTGCATGTGTCTGGTTAAAAAGGGGCAAGATACTGATAGGATTAACCTGCACGTAATTATGAACAGGACTCCCTGAAATGCAATCCTACTGTGTATAATATGAGTCCTTGCAGAAGCATGGGGAGGGATCGCATTACCAGCAAGGACCAGGAGTGGCGCACATCCTCTATACCTGGGATCCCTGTGCAATGAAGCCTCTGGATCCAGAAGACAGCTGCAGCATCAGAGAAGTAGCAGCTGAACCAGGAGCCAGGGCATGGAACAGAGTAATGGGCTTCCCAACCAACAGAGCAAGTAGAGTGTTTTTGTGCAGGAGGCTGGCTTGCGGAGTGGGGTGCCTCTGGGAACTTACTTGGAAATGTTGGACTTGCTGACACTCAGAAGTGGAGCAGAGTGCCTTTGGACTGAGGCTTACAGAAGAGTGGCATGCCCCTTGAGGCATTTATTAGCAGACCTGCAAGAACTTTGTAACATATCCTGATAAACAACTGGACCCTGAGCATTTCTCACTTGCATTACAACTAGTTAATTTCCTTAATAAACCCTTTAATCGTGGATTTTGTCTGTGCGTTTTGTGTAGCAATTGCAATGGATATTAAAACCCAGAGTGATAAAGCAGAGAACATTAATTCAGACATCACAAAACCCCAGATCTTTCAATTAGCAGCTAAGTGTTTAGCCACTCTGCCACCTGGTTTCTTTTATGGAGACAGAGTATCAAGTCTACAAAAGAACATGCAGAAGATAGTCCCAGTATGCAAAACCCTAAGCCCAAATAAATCTATATGTAAATAGGTTTAAAATGCTGTTAAAATCTTTACCTCTGCAACTTCACTTCGACTTACTGCCATCCAAATGCCAACTCACAGCAACCCTATAGGACAGGATAGAACTTCCCTGGTGGGTTTCTGAGACTGTAACTCTTTACAGGAGTAGAAAGCCTACGGCAATTTTCTTCTGTTTGTCTACCTTTTTCACAAGGTGCATCGTGCAGGTATTGTTTTTGTAAACAGAAATAAAAAGTAGCTAAGGACTTCTATCCAGAGCAGGCTTTGGGTCCAGCATTTCTGGCTTCTCGGCTTTCAGTCAAACTCCCTCTCCCACCCATCCCTCAAGCTTGTCCTCATCAAAACATTTTGTGCAGGCTATCCAAGACACACACTGCGTTTTCAGGCCCAAGCAGTACACTCCGGACAGGGGGCAGGAAGGGGCCCACCAGAGAATTAAGCACTAATGAGTAATTATATATATATATATATA